GATGTTTAAAGTTGTTGGAATAAGCCTCAAAGAAGGGAAGAAATTGCATCGCGAAGGTTGCAGTTTATCTATTGTGGATGACAGCTCTGATAGCGAAACAGATAGACAACCAAAAACATAGACACTGGTCTACGTCGTACATCACATAACGAAAAGTTCGTTTTTGTATGGAGTCTTAGTCGTTCCATTGTTGTTTATATGGCATTGTGTGTTTGTATGCAGTTCATGACCCTTCGTTCCAGATTCCTTTAGCAACAAAACGTCTCACCGTAGAAGAAAAGGAGTATCTTGACATGATTACAGACAGCAGCGAAGACAATTAAGCATACGACGTTGTCGATTACAAGGGGAACTGGAAGGTGGGAAAGGAAGACATCATGGTCGTCGTCGAGGAAGGAAAATTGTTAAATGACGAAGTCATTAATTTGTACCTGTTAGCCGTCTAGATCACCAATGATCACATCAAGGTAGATTCGGCATGTACAAAAGTGACAAGAGATAGAGTTCCTTTTGTGTACATTTTCAATTCTTTTTTCTTCACTCGATTGTCAGGTCCTTTGAGGTTTGAAACCACATATTCCAAAGGGATGAAATGAGTGAAGGACACAAATTTTTTTTATTATGACTTAGTGATTATCCCTCTTCATTTTGGAAATCACTGGGCGTTAGCTTATGTCAGCATAGACGGTCCGAACTGTAAATTCCACCTCATAGACTCTCTCCCTCGTGCTGACTATGTTTCAGTCCTTGAACGTTTGGAATATTTTTTCGAAGCGAAGTTTCATCGACACAATCTTCGCGAAAGATATCATGTGGACGGGACTACATCCTCCTTTGATACATCAGTAGATGGGATTCCTGCTCAAGAGGATCCTTGTAGTTGTGGTGCTTTTATGTTAGGTTTTGCATCTTTGCTTGCAAGAGGTCATTTCCCTCCATTTGCTTTCTCACAAACCAATATTTATGATATGAGGCTTAAAATAGCATTTGACATTTTGTCCATGGTTAGATAGGAAAGTCAATGAGGTGCGACTAAAGCTACAGTCCGTAGTTAATATTTTGTTGATAAGATTGACATGTTTACTGAGTGTAAACATTAGAGGTAAAAACTTGACATTGTATTATATTTTGAGCACAGGCAACGCGGGAGCACGACTGACACATTAATTTTTCCTCATTGTTTTGTCGTTCCTTCAACTTTGCATTGCTATGAACATTGTTTCGTCCTTATTTTGCTTTGTCGTTATTTCGATTTGTTGTTATTTTGCTTTGTCGTTATTTCGTCTATAATTTTCTCATTTCGTTCTGTCATTTTACAGTTAAAAAAAAAAGTGAACATGAAAACAATTTCACTTATAACGAAAACACTGTTTATAGCTTACGGGCTGCATTCCCGTACTCTTGCAATAAATCAATAAAAAAAAATCATGAAAGTTAACATACTTAACTCTGCATATTGGTGTAGACATGTGTGCAATTGGTAGGTTGACCTATCCCTTGGCCAATGCATATACCGCTGCACCTCTTGAGGTAGGGTAAGGGTGCTCCAACTTTTCAAACAAAACCCGCGGATTAAGACAGAGATATGAAAAAGTTATAAGAGCGAGTCTGAAAAATATTGGGTGTACCAGACAAATTGCACACCGCAAATGCTCACATATCAGCAAACCGTATAAAATGAGCATCTCAAAAGTTAGGTTTCTCCCACAAATTGCTAAACCATTGTGGTAGAAGGCTCAATTTGTCGAACATGTATACTGATATTCTAAAACCTCACTTGAAGATTTGTTAAGGTTAGGAAAGTGGTGGACATACTTATGGCATTACTGTGAAAGCACGAGTGCGCAACCTATTGTTTATACGTTCATGTGGTTAGGGGAAGATAAGGTAGGACTGCGTCATGAGAAGTGTAACATAATTTTTTTTTTTTTTAATGCGGTTAATCTTGATGTAATATACTTTAATGGGTTTTAAGTATTTTGTGAAAGGTATATGAACACGAAACATTATTGTGATGACATCGTACTAAAATGTTTTGTAAGCCAACTTGACATGGGATTAGTATGATATTGTGTCGAGGCATACATCATCCTTATATATATTTTACCCCTGACGAGTATGTGATTTTGTGTAGGCAACTTACTTGTGTTTAAGCATGTGTTTATTTTTATTTTTCCTTTCAAATTCTTTTTAATTCGTAGTGTGAATTGTTTTTCTCAAAGAAAGACCCAACAAAAAAAGTAAGTGGGAAAAGACATAATTGTTGCATTGAACCTTTTACTTATGGAGGTATTTTGTGATAAGACTCACATATACACATATTATCTTCATATATCATGATGTTATAGTGTCAATGCACATGTTCTGGTGTGCAGGGAACATCTAATATTGTTACAACTAAGCTTACACACATTCTCATTGAATTGCGACTACGTTACCTTTCTCCGACTTATGACTACTGCACTTGTCCTGCCTAGTTGAGGTAAAGCCTACGAGTTGCATTCATGTGTCACCGAGGTAAGATAATAAAAAATCTAGAAAGTCAACAAACTTAAACTTTGTATATTGACAAAAATACCTTTGCGATTGATAAGTCGACCTAGCCCCTGCCCAACGCATATACCGTTGCGACCTTTGTGTTAAGGTGACGACACCCCATCGTTTCAAACAAAACTCGTCGATGAATAGGGAGATTTGAAAAAGCTATGAGTGGGTGTCTGCTGGACGAAATTCCACAAGTCGTATCACCCTTAGTCTTAAACCACTAGTACCTTTGGTGTCCGGTTTCGACAAGTTATTGCCAACTCCCGAACTTTGAGGAGGCGGAGCCCGATGTTGATCAATCTGATCGGCAACCGTCGTTTCGTTTCGGCCTCCTGAAAGGTTGGAGACCCGCTATTTTCCGAACCGACAAAGGTACCAAGTGGTTTAAAAAAATTGTTGCATTCAGCGAATTTCGCAGTTTAAAGGCTCGCATATATTTGATCCGAATGAGAATGAGCATATGAAAAGTTAAGCTCTTTCTCATAAATGCCTAAAGCATCATGGTAGCAGACCTTATTTATTGAACCTCCATATCAATACATCAACGCCTTATCTGCAAGTTTTGTAAGAAGGATTAGAAAGTGATGGGCATACTTATGAATTTACCGTGACAACACGGGTGCTCATATCGTAATTTATACATTTATGAGGTTGTGGGAGGGAAGAATGATATTGCGTCATGAGGAGTGCGAAACAATTTTTCGAGAATGCTTGTGAGGTTGACCTCTATATAATATACTTTCATAGGGTTTGAAGTATTTTGTAAAAGGTACACTCATGTATAGCACACCGAACGAGTTCGGACGTTTGCCGAACGTCTGAACAAGTTCGGCCGTTCGCTCGAATGGGAGCCGAACGCGTTCGCACAAATGAATTCCTGAGGCCGGCGAACGCGTTCGTTCCGCGGGCGGTACCAGGCCTGTAGGGTCTGGGGGCCGTAGGGGGGGGGTGTTCGGGGGGTGGTACCGGGCCTGTAGGGTCTCGCGGCTGTAGGGGGGGGTGTTCGGGGGGCGGGGTCGGTCGGGCGGCCTGGCGGGAAGGGGCAGTTGGGTCCCCCCGTTCGAATTCGAACTCGAAGTCGGACCTCCCCGTTTGTCCACACACACCGTACGCCAGCGACCATGGCGCCCCCAGGTCTGTCTGTCTGTTTGACTGTTTTTCTGTCTGGCTGTTTGGCTGTCTGTCTGGTTGTCTGTCTGGCTGTCTGTCTGTTTGTCTGTCTGTTTGTCTGTTTGTGTGTCTGCTTGCTCAGCAGTTGCCATGTCAGCAGCTGCCACGTCAACTGCTGTATGTCTGTCTGTCTATTTGTTTGTCCGTGTATGCGTGTCTGTCTGTTTGTCTGTCGAGAATGATCTCGTTGTTTGCAATAGGACAAAGATTGGCCCAATCTGTGTGTCACATCTCAAATGCTCTCGTTGTTTGCAACTTTGCAATATGACAAAGACTGCTTCGATTGTGAATGAGCGGGGCGAGGGTGGGGGTGTGGGGATGGCTGGATGGTGGGGGGCAGGGAGGGTATGATTTCACCCTGTGCATGCTGCAGGGG